CTGCTAAGTGCAAAATTTTTGTCAACGAAAAATCATGAATCGATTTTGAAAAGTTGTCGGTAGATATCAGTCAACAATCCTGCTCATTGGTAAAGATTATTCGCGCTGTTATTTAAATTTAATAACTGAAGTTTCATTAATTAGTTGGTAAAACTGTATGAACAGTTGTCATTTATTTTTTTGAAGATAAAGTCAAGCCAAAATGAATGTTTAACACCCCTCCTATTCCTTTATCTTTGCAATATTACGTAAGAACGAACCCGAAAACCGAACGGACTGTCAGATCGTCTAATGGAGGATGAAGGACAAATACATGTTTATATGAAGTTATTATATTATTTATTAGTTGCAATTTATTGAAAAATGAATAGTGCCAAGTCAAATAATGTGTTTTGTTCTTGTGCTACAAATATTACTGATTTAAACTGCTCCATTATTTTAGACGATTTTTACGAAAAATTATGTTGAATGGAATGGAAGATGTGCCTGAAATGGTTCTCAGGTTCGGTAAGTTTTTAATTTTGTTTATACTTAGTATATTATTATATATTGTCCTGAATTATTTACATATAATTTGTGCAATTTATCATGCTTATTTTGATGAAATTAATGTGTAGACAGAAAATTGCCGTTACTTGTCATTATACAAAACGTTTTATAACGAACACTCGTTATGCATTTGACACATAAAAGAATTAAATTCAATTTAATAATAAACTAGTTGTAAGTAGCATTTTGTCTTAATGTGGTATTTTATGTAGAGGCATGAATTTAATGTCATTTTTAAATCATCGTAAAAAAGGCAATCAATTTTTGCACTATCTTCTTTTTAACTTCTCGTAGGGTAAGTTATAGTAATCGCAAAAAAATCGAAAATGAAAATTTTTATATATCTTTACGTTTCAAAACCTTCTGAACATTTACCTTAGAAAAAATGGATGTATGTGTGTGTGTGTGTATGTGCGCGCGTGTGTGTGCGGATACAAATTTTCGTCGACGATTTCGGGAACACCGATCAACCGATTTGAATAATTCAAAAAACACGTTTTGATAAGGAGACGTGCTGATTAGTTTTTGGCGAAGGCAGGTCTAGCCGTTCCAAAGATATGGGGTAAAAAGTGCCAAAAACGGTAACTCAGTTTTTAAGAGAACGGAGCGTCCGATTTGAATAATTCAAAAAACATTTTACTTGTATTAACAAGATGAAGAACGATCAAATTTTCATGAAGGCAGAACTAGCGGTTTCGGAGATCTAGTAAAAAAGTAAAAAAAATGCCATTTTGCGGTCAAAAATGATCATTAGACATATGCACATCAAATTATCAGATATTTTATAGAGATTTTAACAGTAAGTATTTTTTTTTGCATTCTTATGGGTTCCGTACCAATGTTTATCTGTTTAGCGCCGCGTAGTCGCCTAACTTGTAAACCTTGGTACGGAACGCATATAAAATGTACACATTATTTAATTTATTGTAAATTAATTTATAAAGATTATAATAATAAGTACAAATTTTGTGTACATTTATATGCGTTCCGATAATACGATGTACATATGTCTAATGATCATTTTTGGCCGCCAAATGACACCATTTTTTACTTTTTTTATGGAATTTCGGAGACGCTGACCTGAAGTACTATTTTTGGCACTTTTTGGCCCGTATCTCCGAAACGGCTAGACCTGCCTTTGCCAAAAACCAATCAGCACGTCTCCTTATCAGTTGAAATCGAATGTTTTTTGAATTATTCAAATCGCTTGAAAAATTTTATCCGCACATGCATACGCACACACACACACACATACATCAATTTTTTTAAGGTATGCCAAAATGTTCAGAAACCTTTAAAACGTAAAGATATATAACAATTTTTAGTTTCGATTTTTTTACTAGAATGATGTCACAATTGTACATACCAGGATTAAGTTACGAAATTAATTATTGACAAAATAGTGACTCTTTGAAGAAATAAGAATCAACTTCTTGCCACTTTTTTGAGATTCTCGATTTGTTTCTAAAATGTAAAAATTAAAATTGGGAGATGAGGCTAGTATATGCAGAGAGTTAATTCCAAAACACAAGTCATAGCATACATTACACAATAGAATACATTTATCATTTAATTAAACACTACCTAATTATATAGAAAAACTAAATTATTTTTTTCAAAAAATCATGTAAGATATTATCCATTCCTGAAATTGTACTGCGTCGGTATAAACCACATAATTTTCCACATCGCATTGTCTTGTGAACTGATGCACCAAAGACACAGACACTATGCCCCTCAGGGTCAGTGGCGTACCTAGAACTTTTGCCGCCCGGGGCGGTCTCCAGATTGCCGCCCTTTCAATTATAAGTCAGTCAAATAGTAGTTTTCATAAATTAATACAAATAAACTAGTGGTGCATGGCATCGTGCCTTAAGGCAAATTGCTGGCACTTCTCGTACCGAAACATAAAATTTTTAAAAAATATTAAAAAAATTTGAAATCTGAAAAAAATATATTTTTGAGAATTTCGAAATTTTTTAAAAAAATGGCTTTTTTTGAATTTTTTTTTATATTTTGAAATTTTTTGAAAATTTGTAACTTTTTTTAAAATCAATCGCGCTGCGCAGCTGTTTTGGAGACGAAATATCGAAGCGAAACGGCTAGATATTGATACGGAACCCATAGAAATGTAAATTAAATTTGTTCTTATTATTAAAATCTCTAGAAAATATCAGAAAATTTGACGTGGATATATCTAATGATCATTTTAGACCGCCAAATATGTCATTTTTTTACTTTTTCTTATTGATTCTCCGTAATCGCTAGACCTCTAGACCTGTCATCCCAAAAACAGTTCTTTGTTTAGTCAATACAAATAAAATGTTTCTTGAATTACTTAAAACGGACGCTTCGTTCTCTCAAGAACTAAATTACAATATTTGGCTTTTTTGCCCCGTATCGTTGGAACGGCTGGACCCTTTTTGCCAAAAACTAATCAGCACGTTTTATCAGTACGAATTGAATGTTTTGTTTAAATAGGTTGATGCGTGTTCCTACAATCATCGACAAAAGTTTGTCTCTAAACACACACACACATCCATTTTTTCTTGTGTAAATAATCGACCTAATCAATAAAAAATAAATTAATTTATGAGTGATTAAAAGTATTCCGAGTGGATTTATTACACTTCATTGCAAACGAACGAACAAACACGTTAACTCGGAGTATTTTCTAAAAGCAAATTTTCAAAAATCAATAATTTTAATTAATCAATAATTATAATTGAACCAGTTTCCGTAGGACTTTAATGGTTTACTATGTTCAAGACCAAGTACACTATCGTTATACCAACTAAATCATCTAATTTTATTTTTAACAAACGTCAAAAAACATTTTCTCTAACTTTGATAAATTTTTAAAATTAAACTACTTGTCGTAAGGCCGTAATATTACAGTAAGTTCTATAAGACCATGATGTATATCGCCAAAAAAAGTTCCATGAAATCGGCTTAAATTTTTTTTTCAACAGTTACACATTACAAGAAAACGGCTCGGTAGATTTTCACCTAAAATTAATCAGTACCATTCCCAACTAATATCTTTCGAACAGTTTTTGATTTTTTAAAATCGGTTCGGTAGGATGAGCTTAAATGTGGACGAAAAGTTTAACACTTTTTTTCAAATTGCAAAGAAACGGCTTGGCAGGTCGTCGCACAAAACTGACAAACGATAGTCCTCACCAAAATACATCAAATGGCTTTTAAATTTCTAAAATCGGTTCATGCGTTTTTGAGAAAACGTCGATCAAAAGTCTAATTTTGACAAATGCCAAAAAAACGATACCAATTTTTGCAAACTTTGAAGAATTTTTAAAGCTGAACCAGTTGTCGTAGGGCCGTAATATTTTAGTATGATATAGAAGACTATAGTATATACCGTCAAAAAAATAATCATAAAAATCGTCGAAATTTTTTTTTTCAAAACTTTATTACAAGAAAACGGCTCGTCCGATGTCTACCAAAAACTAATCAGCACGATTCCCAACCAATACCTTTCGAACGGTTTTTAAATTTTCAAAATCGATTCAGAATTGCGGGCTAAAACGTAGACGAAAAATTTTTCACTTTTCTGCGATTTATAAAGAAACGGCTTGGCCGATCGTCGCACAAAACTGATAAACGATAGTCCTCGTCGAGATACATCGAATGGCTTTTAAATTTTTGAAATCGGCCCAGCCGTTTTCAAGAAAACGTCCATTTACGGCAAAAAATCTGTTCACACACACACACACACACACATACTTTTTCCAAATTTGGTCTCATTCGATTCAGAATGGCTTGAAACATCAAGAAAACATAAAATTAGCCAATCGGATTTTTTGATGAAAACATAAACTTCTCCTTCGGGAAGTTAAAAATATATAAACTGAATTACAAAGTTAAAATTATTTATTTCAAGTATATAAGTGAGCATTTAAACTTTAGGTAGAATTCAAAATAAAATCCACGTAGAAAGTTTTTTGAATCATTCAAATCGGATGCTTAGTTCTCTCAAAAACAGATATTTTTTGCACATTTTGCTTGCTATCTCTGCCTTTGCGAAAAACTAATCACCACTTCTCCTCATCATTACAAATTGAATTTTTTTGCATCAATCAAATCGGATGTTTCATTCTCTCAAAAACTCGATTTCTGTACCATCAAATCGGTTGATCGAAGCGCCCGAAAACGTGAACGAAAAAACGCGGACACACAAAACACACACACTTCCATTTTTTCTGAGGTATGCCAAAATTTTCAGAAACCTTCAAAACGTGAAGAAATGTAAAAAATTTTATTTTTGATTGTCGGTCCATTACTATAACTTACCCTACGGAAGTTAATAAATATAAAATGAGTAAGTTGCTTTTTACAACTATGTATAAATAAACTAAAAAATGCCGCCCCAAAATAAGTGCCGCCCGGGGCGGACCGCCCCCCCCTAGGTACGCCACTGCTCAGGGTCCAACGATTTTGAAGGGGGAACATAAGAACTCCACCAGAATCACCGTTGCAGGGACCCAAACCTCTTGCTCCTAAAATAAAAGGTATTAGAGGTTTATATTATTAAAAGTGTATTATTTTTTTTTGCATTTTTTATATTGGTTTATATTATCTAAATCTGAAACTAGACTTTTTTCCATATTATAACAGCAATCAGCATCTTACGTCCTATGAGCTGTTGGGCTGAAACTTCTACTTACTTCTTGTTTTTAGATAATAACCCACCGGTTTATCCTTCCATATTTGATGATTTTATTTATTAGAATTTATATAATTGGGCTGACTTTTTATTGGTAATGCCGGGCAAGGGATATTTTTACTTGGAGACATATTGCTATATATTGATATATCTATATTTCCAAGTGAAAACAGTTGTCACTGCTGCCTGACAACGGGCTGCTCGAAGTGGATATCGAACCCGGGACCTCTGAATCAAGTCCCGTCGCAATCCCAGATTTTTTAAAACTAAAACTTAAATAACTGATTATTATGATGGTTAAAATTGGAACAGGGGTATTTAAACTGGTATTGATAATTGAAAGTAAGATGCATTAGTATTGATAACCTATTAATTGGTTATTTTACGATTAAGTAGACCAAATAGTGATGAGATATCTTCTTTTTCCATATGAAAAATGTTTTATAAAATTTGCATTTGTGGCGTTTTTTTATTTATAGGTGTTATTAACACCAATCACAACTTACTTACTTAATAGTTTTATAATTTTATTGTGATCACTTCTTAATAACTTTAGAAGGTATCTCAACGGTTGCCATATCTCTTTATGAATTTTTTTTTATTAATACTGATAAGTTATTGGATGCATCAATGCTTTGTAAGGGCTTGAAATATAATTGCTATCTAAATATATTTTAATTTGCTTTACATCAGGCTGTCTGATATGTGTGTCGAACCTGGAACTTTTGATTGAAAGCCCATAGCTCTAACTATTAATCTAATTAACCAAATGTAATTAACCAAAATAATATGTTATAAATATAGGTAATATGTATTGAAAAGTGTAAGATGTTGTTAGAGAACATCAAAAAAGTTATAATTGTATAGGCATTTTTAGAGTGAAACTAATAAGAAATTGTTAGAGAATTTATTATTATTGATTACGGCTTGCTTTTTATCAAATAAATAAATAAATGAAATAAAAAGGACATAGCTGAAAATATTAGAAAAAGTCTTGAAAATGACACTGTTGTTTGTTTTCGAGCATACCAGAAGTAGTTGCATCTTTGGTATATAGCATCATTAGAAATTGATTCTAGAAGTATTCTTAATTTTTCTACATTCTAGCCAAAGTCATTTAAAAACTAGTGGGGTGCATGGCATCGTGCCTTAAGGCAAATTGCTGGAACTTACCGTACCAAAAATGATTTTTTTAAAAAAAGATTAACATTTTTGAAAAAAATACTCTGATAAAATTAGATTTTTGAGAAACTATACATTTTTGCCAAAAATTTTCTTTTTTTTCAAATAAAGACTTTAACTGCATAGAGACGAAATATCGAAGCGCGTAAGCGTTGCGTCGCCATCTAACGGATAAACATTGGTACGGAACCCATAGGAATGTAAACAAAATTTATACTTATTGTTGAAAGTTTGTATCCGCACACACGCACATAGACGCACACACACATACACACACACATACATCCATTTTTTCTAAGGTATGTCAAAATGTTCAGAAACCTTTGAAACGTAAAGATATATAAAAATTTTCGATTTCATTTTCGATTTTTTTGCGATTACTATAACTTACCCTACGGAAAGTTAATAATTTTTATAATGTACACTATGATGTGAATTATAATTTCACATTATTTTTATCTTTCTTAAAGTTATTTCAATTGTGCCTCCAAGTGGGAGAAAGATTTAAGATTTAAGTATCATTTACTGGGCCAAGTGAATTCTGTTCTTTTACGTAAAAAATACATTTTTATATTACCCGCGCAAAACATTCTTTTTGACGTCAGAATATGTCTGAATTCTTCTTTTGAGTCCATGCAGTCGTCTCTGGAAACGACTGGAACACTTGCCATCCGAGGTTCAGGAGTAGTTTTTCGTCCAGTTTCGTCTCTGCCCCAACCAACAACCTATTTTTAAAATAACGAATTAAATTATTTTGCTTGAAAATAATATGATATAACGAAGATAAGCAAAATAACTTTTTGTTTTATTTGGAACATATTAGCCTTTTAATGAGCTCATCAAAGAACGCAGTACTAAACATAATAAGGAACTATTACTAAATATTCCGAATTTTTACTAAATCATTTGTATAAGAACTGAGTCAGGACATACCGACAAGAATCTGATTTGATGTAAAAGAACCTACAAAAAAAAGAAATAAATGAAGGCATTTCATTGAAGAAGCTTTTGCAAAGCCATGGATAACACAGGCCTGCAAAAAAAAATTTTGTTTGGCGCATCAAATGTTAGAGCTGATTCTTATAGTATTTTTTGCGCTGATTTCAAATCTGCAAACCATTTTTTGTATCAGCTCTAGCCTGGAACTTGGAAAAAAGTTGCCGAAATCAGGTCCATTCTAGGTCGTCACGGAAAAGAACTTTTCACAGTGTCAACTAATGTCCCAACTAAGGCCGAATGGGTCTTAAGTTTGTATATCTTATTAAAATAAAATTCTGAATTGTATTACTATTTTGTTCTTTTATTCCGTATATATCATATACATCATATCTTGAAAACTGAAGCTCATAGATAAAAACCAATGTCATTGTTGAAATCAGCGCCCCTAATATACTTAAAAACAGCATTAAAATCGCGTTTGGCGTTTCTATAAATCAAAGGAATCATTTTCTACAAGTTATATAAACCATAATGGTGACAATATATAAAAGTTGCAAAGTTTTGTAAGAAATAAAAAATAATAAAAAATAGCATCATTTTGCTTGTGGTGGTAGCCGTGAAATCTCACCAAGACCAAGTACATATATAAAACTGATTGGTTAGTGATAACATTTAACCATTCTTACATACTCATTACATTATTAGAAAAAGAAACTTACTGTTCCGTTTTTCTGCATAATATTCTGTAAATCTGCATTTCCACGCCAAAGACAAATTGGTTTGATGAAACTTGTAAATTCAACTGTTTGTGCTAAAATCACTAAGCCTATGTCTGCATCTGTTCTGTCGGATTTTGGCTTGAAATCTGGATGAGGAATTGCTTTTTCTGCCCCTGTTTGTAAAGCATCTGGGGAATATGAGGTTTATATTATGGACTACATCAAACTAAAGACTAACTAGTGAGGTGTATGGCATCGTGACTTAAGGCAAATTGCTGGAACTTCCCGTACCGTAACGGAATGTTTGAGGAATACTAAATATTTCCAAATAGATTATTATTATTGTGACATTTGTTTAATATTTATAAGGATTATATAAACGGAATTGCAAAGTTGAAATTATTTGTTCAAAGTATAAGTCAGAATTAAAAATAAAATCTGAATGATTTTCTATATATACAAAATTTTTTTTTTTTTGAAAAAAAAAGTTGAAACAAAAATTTTTTTTTCAAAATCAATTATTTTGTTTGCAGAAAGTTCTTTGAATCATTTAAATCGAACGCTTAGTTTTTTCAAAAACTGCCATTTTTTACACATTTAGCTCCGTATCTTCGAAATGGCTGGGCCTGCCTTTGCCAAAAACTAATAAACATTTCTCTGAATCAATACTAATTGAATATTTTTTAGATCATTCAAATCGGATGCTCAGTTCTCTCAAAAACTCGATTTCTATTTTCTGCACTTTTTGCTCTTTATCTCCGTAACTGCTGGACCTGCCTTTGCCAAAAACTAATCAGCTCATCTCCCTATCAATAGGAATGGAATGTTTTTCAAACCAACTCAAATTGGTTGATCTGTGCGCCCGAAAACGTGACTGTATCCATACATACATACACACACACACATACACATCAATTTTTTTGAGGTATGCCAAAATGTTCAGAAACCTTCAAAACGTCGAGAAATGTAAAAATTTTCAATTTCGATTTTCGGCCCATTACAATAGCTTACCCTACGGGAAGTTAATAAAGAGACTAATAAAGTGTTATGCATAAATGCGTAAAATGCATAAAAACACGTAAACAAGTAAATAATGGCAATAAAATGGTATTGTAAATAATAAACAAAGGAAAGAAAATTTTCTGTTTGTGGTGTTCTCACACCATGGACCTGTCTTCAGAGAGAAAAGAGGGCAGAGGTTCTCAAAAGGGATAAAAATAAAAGAATTAATGACAGACAAGGTGCAAAAGAAACAAGATGTAAAGAAAAAACAAAGATAAAAGAGAAATATAGAAAAAATAGAGATGAAGAGAAAAAATTGATAAGAGAAAAAAGGGATGGAGAGCGAAAATAGAGATAAAGAGAAAAAGAGAGAGAAAAAGATAGAAAGAGAGAAAAGATTATAAAAGAGAGAAGAGAAGAGGCACTTAACTATAATTAGGAAGAAATGGTAAAAACTTGAAACTAATTTAATAGCAGGCCACATATCTTTAAAATTGTAAACTAGTCGATGAAATATTATATAATTAGGAATGATTTTATGAATCTGACTCTTGATGTTTTATATTATTTATAGAGTAAAATAAATTCAACCATGCACCACCATTGCCAATTATCAATTGCTGATAATTTTAAATTTTATAGCATTAAATGACTTATTGTCCACCCAATTATTGATGTTATGTCTTCCTAAAACTAGCAGGAAATCGTCATCATTAAACTGTCTTCCGTTCCAATCAAAAAGGCAATGTGCAGCTGGCAAAAAAATAATAAATATCAATTTTTCTCAAGTTTATATGAATAAATCATATATTTTTATTAAAACTAACCTGTGACAACTAACTTTCGTGATATCAACGTAGATCCACATTTAAAAGTTGGTCCGTTATCTGATACGACGTACAAGGCGACCAACCATGGCCAGTCGCCTCTCGCAGTCGCTTCTCCGCCAACCACCAGATTCAACGGGCGAACCGCGGTCTGACCACACATCGAATTCATTTCATTTAAACTGAAAATATAATGATAGTCTTTTTATAGTAATTGCAATTGTTTTTGACAAGGTTTAATGCTATCTTCATATCCAACAAAAAGCTTTTTTTTTTTTTGTTAATTATACATAAAGATTTACTACTGTTCGTATGGATATTTAGTAAATATAATGGCTTATGCTAATTGATGTAAGGGCTATGATTAATTGTGATCGTTCGTGGGAGTAACATGTGTTACTTTCTTTTTACTATAGGAATTAGATTGTGATCGGTGCATATTACTCTATAAACTCAATTGTGGCTGGTGTTAGCGTTTTAGTCTTTTTGGAAGGTTGTCTTCAAGCAGTTTTCTGGCGAAGTCATTGAAGTATTCGGCCAGTCTTTCAGCATGTTTCTTGGAGTATCGAAGCATTTCTTCCTGCACCGTAGTCATGTTTGTATCCTGATGGATAAGCCAGCTTGGTACATATCTGGCTGCCGAGAGTCTAATGGCTTTGTTTTGTGTTACTTGCAGGAATTTTATGTTAGATTTGCTGACGCAACCCCACAGCTGAATCTCATACGTTCTTACGGGCTTTAATATTGATTTATATATTAGAAGCGTATTGTGCGATTTATGCCCTATGATTGGGTAGAGTTGTTCGATTATCTCTTCGATCTGTCGTTTTTTCTTTATATTATGCACTTTCCAATTTAACTTATTATTTGGATGAAGACCTCTAATATTTGACAGATGTTTCTTGTGGGATATTGTTACTCTAAATATTGTTACGGGTCCAACGTAAAACTATAAGGCAAATGCCTTCCTGTCGGTGTGAATAATAGTGTGGTGTCCGAAGCATCCACCATCAAATACCTTGGTATTTATTTGTATCAAAAATTGAACTTTATACAACACATAAATAAAAAAGTAAAGTAAATAAAAGGTAAAAGATAAAGTCACTTTATTGGCTAAGAGGTTTAACTCAAAGTTATTTCTGAGCAACAAAGTTCTCATATACAAAGTTTCCGTAAAACTCATTTGAACCTATGGGGTTAGACCACTGACTAAACCTCTTGAGAATAATGTATTCTGGTTAAGATGTACGTCAGAATAACAGCTTATAGAACACGTAGTTCTAATTGCTGTTCAAATATAAAAATAAAACCCTATAGAAACGGTAAAAGGGTTTTATAAAATATGTGTTGGCAGAACGTTAAGAACCAACTTGCAAAATTTCTCTGCTGCTCTTTTAATTCTAAAGATATCTACGTTGAGGAATAATGATGTGAAAAGCTAAACTAGGGATACCGATATTGAAATGCTTAAATAAATAAATAATGGGTAGTACTGCATCTAGGGAAGGTCCGTGAGCTGAGCTAAACTGCTTATGGCAACTTGAGTTAAATCTTGGTCGTGGTTAAAATTTTTCTGTTCTACACAATCAAGATTATCTGCAAATTGTCGTACTGGAAGATCCTTTGGTTCATTGATTTGACTGTTTGTCTATATCATATTTTTTTAAAGACTCATATGAAATCATAACTGGTTGTAAGTGAGGCTTTTTACTTAAGAAAAGTTTTATAAATTTCAGATTAGTCAACTTAATTAACAAAAATGGTTCATTAAATTAAAAAAAAATTTAATAAATAAACAACTTTTCGTAGACCTTTAATACGCTAGGATGTTTGTTAAGACCATGACCAATATCATCATACAGAGTTTCATCAAAATCATCAAGAAACGGTTTGGCTAATCCTTACCAAAAACTAATCAGCACGATTTCTAACCGATTTCCTCGAACACTTTTCGAATTTTCGACCATGGCCAATATCATCATATAAAGTTTCATCAAAATCATCAAGAAATGGTTTGGCCGATCTTTACTAAAATTAATCAGCATGATTTCTAACCGATTTTCTTCGAACCCTTTTTGAATTTTCAAAATTGTTTCAGGAGTCATGACCCAAAAAACTGCTTGACCGATCGTTGCAAAAAACTAATGAATGCAAGCCGTAATCGACGTTTAAGATTTAAAAATTGGACCAGAATATATCAAAGAAAGGTCAAAAATAGATTCACATATACTTTTTTTTAACTTTGGCGTCAAACGATTTAGAGTGACATTAAACGTCGAGACGACATAAAATTAACAAATCAGAATTTCTGACGCAAATATCAACTTCTCTTTTGAAATTAAAATGTTGTAGCATATAAATTGAATGGCAAAAGCGCATTCAATAGATTTATGGTAAAAAAATCTAAAAAAAATAAATCTTTACGTTTCAAAGGCTTCCGAACATTTTGGCACACCTTACAAAAAATGGATGTATGTGTGTGCGTGCGTGTGTGTGTGTGTGGAGACGTGCTGATTAGTTTTACGCGCTTTGATATTTCGATTCCAAATCAGCGCGATTGCTTAAAAAAATGTTCAAAATTTAAAAAAAAAAACAAAATACAAAATATAAAAAAATCTAATTTTTCAAAAATTTGAAAATTTCTCAAAATACGTTTTTTGAATAATCTAGTTTTCGTTACGGGAAGTTCAAGCAATTTGCCTTAAGGCACGATGCCATGCACCACTAGTTTTATGTTATTATTTTTTTACTCACATATGAGGCAATTCTGCTCCTTTTGGCGATGAATCTTCCGGCGGTTTACCAGTAGTAGTAGAAGTAATCGGTATACTAGTAGTACGTTTAATCACTGGCTTCTGGTTTGAAAATGGTGCTCTAGTCATTTTCATAACTGGTGGTGGAAAATATCTCCAGTTTTCGTTCGTAATATACTTATTTAACTCGCGTAAATATAGTAATGACTCTGGATTCAAGTAAAGGTCCTGATCATTGTCTGATTTATTTTTTATTTGGATCTTTTACTAGAGTCTGTTGCTTTGGATCTGGCGAAAATCTATCGACCTCATCATCGTACCTCAAATCCGGTTCGAATTCATAGTCGTAGAAGTTTAAATTTGGATTATTTTGTTTTTGGTCGGGGATTGATTGCGAGTTTTAGTGACTGTTGTGTATGTATGTTGAAGTTTAATAGATGTGATTGGCAGTGAATCATCTGCAAAGAAATGATAAATAATCAGTAAAACAGTATTTGATCACTTATTTTATTTTCAGACAATTTTAGGTTTGGTACCTACATCTCCTAAAAATTTACTGGTACTTTCAACATTGATATAAGATTAACCAATGCAGTATTGGAAATAAATAATATCTTTACAAATTTTATGAAAACGATTAATAGAGTTAAATTATCTCATTGGTTATTTAATTTTTAACACCATAATTGATAATTAAACGAATAAGATTTTTTCTAATATCCAATATTAATTTTTAACAAACATTAATTGAAAGAATCTAAGAAAACGATTGCATAAATTGATCTATCATAATTACACAGGTCCACAAAAAAACGTTGTCAAATGCCAAAAAAATAAAAAAAAAACGACGAGATCTCCGATCTAGCAATTCTTTTGCATAATACATAAAATCTTGTAATTTCAGTCCCTGTCCTGGCCCTTTTTACCTGTTTTGGAATTACTAGATCAGAGATCTTCTCGTCTTTTTACTTCGTTTGTGGACCTGTGCTAATTAATTATAATTAAGTTTTTAA